TTACACAGAGGTATAATAAGCGATCACTTACAGAGAAATACAATAAGCAATGAAATACATATAGATACAATAAGCAATCAATTACACAGAGATAGAATAAGCAATCAATTACACAGAGGTATAATAAGCGATCAATTACAAAGAGATACAATAAGCGATCAATTACACAGAGATACAATAAGCAATCAATTACACAAAGATATGACAAGCGATCAATTACACAGAGATATAACAAGCGATTCGCTATTGATACCAGTGATGAATGGACATGTGTGGTATCGCAAAGCCGAGTTGACATTTCGGTTTCATTAAGCAATCGCCATCGCAGTTATCTTAGTCACAGAACCTTCTAGTTTGGGGTGCTATTTAGTACACGTCAAAAATACTACATTGTACAACCACAGCCGTGCATGGGCGTATGCAATAACGCATTCCCATGTTTAAAGTGTATAAAGTAGGTGTGAATTTTACGCATCTACAACATATTTCGATCACTAATACTATCGGTATAGGACAAGCAAACTTGACCAATCCAGGAGCTCATCAGCTACAACTAAAACAAAACTCCGCAGGGAACGTACTCTCAACACCTTCTCATGCGCTATCAATGAATTACTCCCAACACACCTTCTCATGCGCATTCACGGTCAACAGATCCCTATCGACGCTTTCCACAATCTTCACATCCTCCACTTGTTTAGAGATGTACCGCAGTTGTCTGTCGATATCATCGAGCTCTCTTATTTCCTTCACATACGTCCGCGAGAACGTGTTCATGTTTGTATTGAGATCATTGAACATAGCCAGGCCCAATTCTCCCAACTCACCCAAAGCTTCATATGCAACTGTTCGGAGAAAATTAATTTACAAGTGTCAATCAGCACATGATATAAACTGTGATTTGTATATAAACTGTAATTTGTATATGAACTGTAATTTGAATAAAAACTGCGATTTGTAGATGCGTGATCATAAAAATGTCATACATTTGAGAACATCTTCCAAAGAGATTCATCTGCTCATATATTCCACTGCCGCAGAATCGTGGCGCCACGAACCAAACCGAAAAGCCATTCATATTTATGATACAAACAACGCAAATAGCGTATAGTATCCATGAAAATACATAGTAAAGGAGACCATCATACACATACATCAATTGAGAATGGAAACATATACGTCAGCAACTGCCTATCCGAAATACTATACTTGATGTCTTATGCAAAGAGCCACGAAAAGTTGACTGATTGGTAGTGTGACACACCTATAAGAAGGTCTACAGTGATTAATAGTAGACAATCGACAGAGTTCAGTGAAACGTATATATAGTTTTTTGTATGTACTATTGGTCACTAGAACTGACACTTCTGAGATGAAGCATTTGTCGACAAACAGCATACGTCGATAGCCGCCAACAAACAGATATTTATCAACAACATCTGCATATACACGGATATCCCTAATAAACACGTACCAAGGAGATATGACTCATATCAAAAACGCTGTACTAGCATCACTTCAGACGATAATTATATTTCAAATACTATCCGAAACGATATGAAACGTAGTGGATCGAAATGAATCGTCCACGAGAAAAACTAAACTAATCGACAAATAAGCCAAATTTATGTGAGTATTAGCACTCAAAATGTGAATTAAGATCAGCGTATCAGCACATACACACACATATATATATATATATACACACACACACACACACACACACACATATATATAATATA